CCCTCATACCCTCCACCAGATGCGAGAAAGTCTCCACAAAAACTAAAATCCCCCATGCCTAAGACTGTGCCCTGTGGCTGTGGGCCCTCCTCAAAAAACAAACTCCACAAATGACTTACATTTTAGAATACCACAGAAGTGAAGGGGACTTCAGTGGGAAGATTTGCTAAAACGAAGCTGAAGAAATGAATTTACAATCTTACAGTTACTGTAAGTTGATACACAACTGATACCTTAATGCAAAGCTCAAAAGATCAAGTAGTGTAGCTGCACCAGAGACTACATCAAGTCTTAACCACTTCTAATGGGTTGATGGTAGGTGAGCCAACAAATGTTTTCCATTGTAATGTGTACCATTATAGCAATAGATGGTGAATGTCATCCACATAACAGTAAATAACACTTAATGTAAAACACTTCTACATATTCGTGTGTGTGTTTAATGGCCCATGGTGTTATAAAGACTAACATTCTGTGGAATAGATTTAAGTACACCATTCCCAAGGGGTCCCCCTGTGATTCTAATATATTTCCCACTGGTTATCATTAAGTGATAAACATAACTTCAATCACTCCTAAGGAGTTTGGCCATAGTCCAATCTTGACCCTCAAAAAAGTTAAATATAAAGAAATGTGTCACAGCAGTTAGGTTTTTAAATTTACCGCCAACTGAAACAAACTCCTAGTGCTATCAACAAGCATTTCACCTCATCATGTTATATCATTACTACTTCAGATCCACATAATAGATGCTTATGGTGCTTCACGGCTCAATTAGTAATTTCTAAATGCATTGCAACAACATATAGACAACCTCTCGAAATGGGAAACTAAGTTGAATTTATATGGTGAATCATTACTTTGTAGCCCTGGACAAGGAAATATGTTGTTTCTGTGGGCCTTTGCTTTTGTTTTTGGTAATAAAAGCCTATTTAGAGGCATTGCTGGCTGGGCTTCTGCCCATTCTGCTCCATTACAATTACTCAGCAGGCTAGCATCGGGGTAATGAAGAGGGTGTCACAATTGGTGGACCTGACAGTGACTGACCGCTGCTCTGGAGCTCTGTTCTGTTCCTCAGCCACTTGCTGCTGTAACGGTCCGTAACGGCACTGCTGGCAGCACTACAGTGACAGTAAGCAGACTGGCTGTAGACCTACCTACCTACCGCAGAACAAACACGTGTGTACAGTACAGTCGTGGTCAAAAGTTTTGAGAATGACACAAATATTAATTTTCACAAAGTCTGCTGCCTCATTTTTTATGACGGCAATTTGCATATACTCCAGAATGTTATGGAGAGTGATCAGATGAATTGCAATTCATGGCAAAGTCCCTCTTTGCCATGAAAATGAACTTAATCCCGAAAAAATATTTCCACTGCATTTCAGCCCTGCCGGCTGGAGATCACTCTGTCATGTTGATAGAGTTAGAATAACAGACTGGAAGCTTTAAAAGGAGGGTGGTGCTTTAAATCATTGTTCTTCCTCTGTTAACCATGGTTACCTGCAAGGAAACACGTGCCGTCATCATTGCTTTGCCACAAAAAGGGCTTCACAGGCAAGGATATTGCTGGTAGTAAGATTGCACCAAAAACAACCATGTATCGGATCATCAAGAACTTCAAGGAGAGAGGTTCAATTGTTGTGAAGAAGGCTTCAGGGCGCCCAAGAAAGTCCAGCAAGTGCCAAGACCGTCTCCTAAAGTTGATTAAGCTGCTGGATCGGGGCACCACCAGTGCAGAGCCTGCTCAGGAATGGCAGCAGGCAGGTGTGAGTGCATCTGCACGCACAGTGAGGCGAAGACTTTTGGAGGATGGCCTGGTGTCAAGAAGGGCAGCGAGGAAGCCACTTCTCTCCAGGAAAAACATCAGGGACAGACTGATATTCTTTCCGATTGTTTGGGGCATCCGGAAAAAAGCTTGTCTGGAGAAGACAAGGTGAGCGCTACCATCAGTCCTGTGTCATGCCAACAGTAAAGCATCCTGAGACCATTCATGTGTGGGGTTGCTTCTCAGCCAAGGGAGTGGGCTCACTCACAATTTTGCCTAAGAACACAGCCATGAATAAAGAATGGTACCAACACAGCCTCCGAGAGCAACTTCTCCCAACCATCCAAGAACAGTTTGGTGACGAACAATGCCTTTTCCAGCATGATGGAGCACCTTGCCATAAGGCAAAAGCGATAACTAAGTGGCTCGGGGAACAAAACATCGACATTTTGTGTCCATGGCCAGGAAACTCCCCAGACCTTAATCCCATTGAGAACTTGTGGTCAATCCTCAAGAGGCGGGTGGACAAAAAAAACACCACAAATTATGACAAACTCTAAGCATTGATTATGCAAGAATGGGCTGCTATCAGTCAGGATGTGGCCCAGAAGTTAATTGACAGCATGCCAGGGCGGATTGCAGAGGTCTTGAAAAAGAAGTGTCAACACTGCAAATATTGACTCTTTGCATAAACTTAATGTAATTGTCAATAAAAGCCTTTGACACTTATGGAATGCTTGTAATTATACTTCAGTATACCATAGTAACATCTGGAAAAATATCTAAAAACACTGAAGCAGCAAACTTTGTGAAGACCAATACTTGTGTCATTCTCAAAACGTTTGACCACGACTGTACAGTAGTACACAACCTCCATGAACCTTCCTGCTCAAGCCTCAGCTAGTACTGTATGTGTTTTTAAAAGTGTCAGGGAAAAAGGGAATTACACTTCAAAACCAAAAAAATAAAGTTTGTATTGATTTGATATAACATGTAATCTGTTTTGCTGTCTTCCACCAAAAGGGAATCATGTAAGACAGCATTATAGATAATACGACCATACATCAATTGGAGTTTGGCTGACATAAGGGCAATAGATCATGTTCAAGCTAGACTGCTTAGCTCTGGAATTTATAAACTACCTCCTAAATCGAAGTGGCTTTCAATTTTAGTTTTTGATTTAAAGATATGAGATTTTGTCAGAGTTGATTTTGTTTAATCTTTAGTTTCACAAGGGGCTCTAGATTTTGAACTCCATCTCTCAAACTGAACCACACTTGCCATTGGGCCCATTACAAAAGTAATGCATTGCTCATTGGTTCACCTGCAGGCCTTCACACCTGTTCAGACCATTGTTTATTTTTACTGTGACATTAGGAGCTATCGATAAACTGTATTTTGTTCCCTTTCACATCATGTCTTCATCTTTGGTGCTAATGCTGAATGCATTTAAAATATGAGTAGGCTAATGCATATCAAGGGATGTGCTGGTGGTGTCACCTTTTGTCACATGATAAATGACAGTATGATTATTCCATAGTTTGCCAGTATATCAAATTTAAAAGTATTGTTTCCACATTGTATCTTGAAAATCTGCAGATTTTCTATGCGCATTTTGCAACTCTTGACTCAAATTCATACTGATAATACAGTAATAAAATCATGTATGCTGTTACATTCAACGGTCTCTACAATTTTAAAGCATATTATACCGTATCTTAGTGATTTAGTGAAGCATATATTATATTCCACAGATTTTATTCCCAGTAAAATAAAACATTTTCTATGATTTCATTACTGAATAATCTGCATCTATCACAAAAATACTAGTAATACAGTGATCAATAGATAACTTAAAACATTATTTCATTATTAGCTCTACGATTTAGATTAAAACACAATTTAAAAAATAATCAACATTTAATCATTAGTAATTTAATTCTGTATATAACGTATAAAATCTCTATAAAAAAAAATGCTAAAATGAGATTTCAAATCACAATGCCGAAACATTTGTGTAAAATATAGGGTGCTTGCACCACCCTCTGGTCAACATTGGTTATAACAACACTGACAAAAGAGAAGAACGTAAAAGCCTCAGAGACACAAACCAGAGTGAAAAATAGGGTATGGTGACTGACAAGCCTAATGTTGTATCATTAATTAGAGAGTTGGATGAATACGTTTATTGTACTCACCGAAGACAACGAAATTGCTCATAATCACTGCATTCACTGACTGAGGCCTGAATAATTATTTTAACAATTTGACTTGATGTACTTCTATGTGCTTTAGTGCTCTCTAGTGTTTAAATAAATCAGATACATTACAGATTCCTCTCAGCTTTCTCAGCGCTGGCTAGGCGGTTGTATTGTATCTATGGAGCACCCTATTCTTTGCTGATCTTCTCTCTGAGTTGACGATCCCCAGGAGGAGATGGCTGCCGTTTTACGGGTGCCTAACCAATTGTGCTATTATGTGTGTTTCTTACTGCATTGTTGGTTAGGTCTTGTAAGTAAGCATTTCACTGTAAGGTCTACACCTGTTGTATTCAGCGCATGTGACAAATACAATTTGATTTGATTTGACTATCAGGAGCTATTAGGCACTGGCTGATGTCCACTTCTGGATCAGTCACCTCTAACCCCCAATGAAGAAAAGGACAGTTGGTTACTTACACAAGGCAGTCATCTTCCAATCTCATCCCTGAGTAGTGCAGGATTATAGAAGGTTTGCATTTGTATGGAATTTTCAGATTAGATCATCCAAAGAAGGTACAGTGCTTACTTGCACAAAGAACCGTCCAATGGGCTCATTGTCTGAGTCTGGCCTGATCCCTGCAACCTGATGCAGCTCAGAAAGCCCAGCAGCCACAGAGAGTTCGAACACCTTGGACCACATGCAGCATCATAGCCTGTCAGCAACAACAGATGACTGGAGATGTGTCAGTAGAGATCGTTCACTCATGTCCTGCTTGGCTATTGGAAAAGTTTCAATATACAAAGTCATAAATGGGTATATCCATGTGCAGGCTGCTACTTTATATTTATTATAACACTATTTACACATTTCAAGAACACATGCTACAGAACTCCATTTTTACAGCTCCTAACAAACAATACAAACATCTGTAACTCTCCAGAACAACATAAATAAATACCTGTTGACAAGGGAAAATATCAGACCAGGCTATTAACACTGAGAAAACATTCAAGTTTTGAATTCTGCCATTTCAATACAAGGCTTCTTTGTAACTATGCAATTGTGATTGTGCAGCAGATTCTTGTCCTGGTGCTGCTATAAGCTCCCTTTGGTTTGTGCTCCTCTGCAGCAGTAATATAGCACCTATTGGAAAAGTTTCTGAGTTATACCTTTTATTTTAATCTAGTCATAATATATTTGCAATTTTTAACACCTGATGTTGTCTACTCATCTAAGCATATGAGCTGTGTAGGTCTACATGTCATACCCCTTAATGTAATTCAGTGAAAATCGAAGAAGGCTATTAGTCTACATAATGAAGTGTGCATTTGTGGTTTTAACGACACTGGTATGACTATGTCCTGCATAATGCACAAAATCAGCTATGATCTATGCTGAAATATGTACAGCTAAAAGCTTGCTTTATTTTCTCGGCCACATTATAACAGGCAGTTATAAAAGAATTGGCCATTATCTATGCTTTTGATTTATAATCCAACGTTTAATGCCCACACCAAGTCAATGCCATCCATTGTAATGATAATACTGATATTTCTCCACAGTGGAGTTCATGATCAGAAAACAAATTAGAATTGGTATTCTCTGCATTCATTTGATGGGGGTGTGCTGAATTTTCCAAATGATGAGTGTGTTTTCTAGTGGGCTTGTCATCGTGTTAATCTATTGGTGTGATCTTAGAGCGGTAAAAGGTTGTTTACTACTAAACATTCCGTTCAGAGCATGAAAATAATAAACCAAAACACTATGTAAACTAACAAAAGCACAGCTCACGATGCTCTCAAGTGTACACACATTAATTCCACACTCAGATATGTACAATTACATATACACAAAGCCTTCAGTACCATGGTACGTTGACATCTTTAGTACACACAAACTAAACACCACAGTAACAATATCTCCATTCAATGTCTCACACACACTATACATTAAGGCATGAGGTGTCTTCTTGGATGCAGTGCATCAGCAGAAGAGGGTACATTGAGAAATCAACTCAAATGCATTTCAACCACAGCATGTAAATGTCAATTGTCACGTGGAATGGATTAAACTAATGGAAAAACTTAGGCCCGAATCAAAACATCAAATGATCTAAGGGTACATTCTATAAAATATATGATTTATACAATATTTCAAAGTGAGACAGTGGTTAATTAATGCACCATTTACCATTCTAAAAAATAGAGGACGTTCAACAATTTCAACACGATGAACCATTTTGCAGTCCAACAATTCCAACACAATGAATAATTTAACTATTTGACAAAACAGAACATTGACTACTGAATCAAGCCTACGTACTCTGATGTACAGTGCAATACAGGATGATCAAAATGGTTATGAGTTGGAATGGTATGCCAAGTGACTTATCCTTTCACTAGATACATATGTCAAACCTGCCTTTTTCAATTATAGATTATAGCAAAAAATCACATATGAACCTTATCTAAAAATGTAAAGCTACTGGCTTGTGCTCCTCCCTATACTTTCATTATCTATACCTTAAATTACAGATTATACGGATCAGCCTTGTACATGCAGTCAAACTGTATTAAATGAGCATTTAAGCAACACTTTGAGATATCATGTTAGCTTTGTAAGTGGATTCATGGCATTTAAATGACTGTAAAGCTCATTTTGAGGATGTCATAAGGGATTATAATTTATAAATGCATGGAGAACAATATCCTACAATTATCCTACGATATCCTACAAAAAGCAATGTCTACTATCTATAATTTTTGTATTTTCTTATTTTACAACGAAATGCTTTACAGTAGCCTACTGTATATTAGCTGGGAGGGTGCTCCAGGTCATATTTTCATTCTCAAGCTGTAGTGCCACTTCTTTTGACTCAAAGCAGTTTGCCTGCATACCCTACATTTAACCGGAGGTCAGCACAAGCATTTGGAGAAATGTGTAAATTACAACTATCCATAAAACAAATAGAAATCTAGTAGACTATCACACCTTTCATTAAGTTGCCCAAATAGCACAAAAATACATGGATTTTATATTTCTTTGATAATAAATTAGCAGCATTCATAAGTATGTGTGTGAAACAAGTAAAGTTTTGTTATACATACACTACCGTTCAAAAGTTTGGGGTTACTTAGAAATGTCCTTGTTTTCCAAAGAAAAGCAATTTTTTTGTCCATTAAAAGAACATCAAATTGATAAGAAATACAGTGTAGACATTGTTAGTGTTGTAAATGGCTATTGTAGCTGGAAACGGCAGATTATTTATGGGATATCTACATAGGCGTACAGAGGCCCATTATCAGCAACCATCAGTCCTGTGTTCCAATGGCACGTTGTGTTTGCTAATCCAAGTTTATCATTTTAAAAGGCTAATTGATCATTAGAAAACCATTTTGCAATTATGTTAGCACAGCTCAAAACTGTTGTGCTGATTAAAGAAGCAATAAAACTGGCCTTCTTGAGACTAGCTGAGTAATGAGAAATGAAGGCTATTCCATGCGAGAAATTGCCAAGAAACTGAAGATCTCGTACAACGCTGTGTACTACTCCCTTCACAGAACAGCGCAAACTGGCTCTAACCAGAATAGAAACAGGAGTGGGAGGCCCCGGTGCACAACTGAGCAAGAGGACAAATACATTAGAGTCTCTAGTTTGAGAAACATATGGCTCACACGTCCTCAACTGGCAGCTTCATTAAAAAGCACCCGCAAAACACCAGTCTCAACGTCAACAGTGAAGAGTTGACTCTGGGATGCTGACCTTCTAGGCAGAGTTGCAAAGAAAAAGTCCAGTGTCTGTGTTCTTTTGCCCATCTTAATCTTTTCTTTTTATTGGCCAGTCTGAAATATGGCTTTTTCTTTGCAACTTTGCCAAGAAGGTCAGCATCCCGGAGTTGCCTCTTCACTGTTGACGTTGAGACTGGTGTTTTGCGGGTGCTTTTTAATGAAGCTGCCAGTTGAGGACGTGTGAGCCATATGTTTCTCAAACTAGAAACTCTAATGTATTTGTCCTCTTGCTCAGTTGTGCACCGGGGCCTCCCACTCCTGTTTCTATTCTGGTTAGAGCCAGTTTGCGCTGTTCTGTGAAGGGAGTAGTACACAGCGTTGTACGAGATCTTCAGTTTCTTGGCAATTTCTCGCATGGAATAGCCTTCATTTCTCAGAACAAGAATAGACTGACGAGTTTCAGAAAAAAGTTATTTGTTTCTGGCCATTTTGAGCCTGTAATCAAACCAACAATTGCTGATGCTCCAGATACTCAGCTAGTCTCAAGAAGGCCAGTTGTATTGCTTCTTTAATCAGCACAACAGTTTTCAGCTGTGCTAACATAATTGCAAAAGGGTTTTCTAATGATCAGTTAGCCTTTTAAAATGATAAACTTGGATTAGCAAACACAATGTGCCATTGGAACACAGGACTTATAGTTGCTGATAATGGGCCTCTGTACGCCTATGTGGATATTGCATTAAAAATCAGCTGTTTCCAGCTACAATAGCCATTTGCAACATTAACAATGTCTCCACTGTATTTCTGATCAATTTGATGTTATTTTAATAGCAAAAAAAATGCTTTTCTTTCGAAAACAAGGACATTTCTAAGTGACCCCAAACTTTTGAACGGTAGTGTACATATTATTTCCAGTCAGTTACCACCATCATTCTATAGTAATTCAAGGGCACTGTTATGTAATGGAAACAACTTCATGTAAAGTTTTTATATATATATATATATATATATATATATATATATATATATATATATATATATATATATATATACACCTGCTGTAAATACTCACAATATTCAATGAGCACCATGCTTATAAATCCAAACAATACTGTGGGTTGTCTTTGGTGAAATGACAAGAAGGAGATAAACATACACTTCAGATATCTTCACATATCTCTTCAGTATACAGTGCCTTGCAATAGTATTCATCCCACTTGGCCGTTTTTCCTATTTTGTTGCATTACAACCTGTATCTTAAATAGATTTTTATTTGGATTTCATGTAATGGACATACACAAAATAGTCCAAATTGGTGAAGTGAAATGAAAAAAATTACTTGTTTAAAGAAATTCTAAAAAATAAATAATGGAAAAGTGGTGCGCGCATATGTATTCACACCCTTTGCTATGAAGCCCCTAAATAAGATCTGGTGCAAACAATTACCTTCAGAAGTCAAATAATTAGTTAAATAAAGTCCACCAGTGTGCAATCTAAGTGTAACATGATCTCATTATGTATACACCTGTTCTGAAAGGCCCCAGAGTCTGCAACACCACTAAGCAAGGGCCACCACCAAGCAAGCGGCACCATGACGACCAAGGAGCTCTCCAAACAGGTCAGGGACAAAGTTGTGGAGAAGTACAGATCAGGGTTGGGTTATAAAAAAATATCAGAAACTTTGAACATCCCACGGAGCACCATTAAATCCATTATAAAAAAATTGAAAGAATATGGCACCACAACAAACCTGCCAAGAGGGGGCCGCCCACCAAAACACATGGACCAGGCAAGGAGGGCATTAATCAGAGAGGCAAAAAAGAGACCAAAGATAACCCTGAAGGAGCTGCAAAGCTCCACAGCGGAGATTGGAGTATCTGTCCATAGGACCACTTTAAGCCATACACTCCACAGAGCTGGGCTTTATGGAAGAGTGGCCAGAAAAAAAGCCATTGCTTAAAGAAAAAAATTAGCAAACATGTTTGGTGTTCCCCAAAAGGCATGTGGGAGACTCCCCAAACATATGGAAGAAGGTACTCTGGTCAGATGAGACTAAAATTGAGCTTTTTGGCCATCAAGGAAAATGTCTGGCGCAAACCCAACACCTCTCATCACCCCGAGAACACCATCCCCACAGTGAAGCATGGTGGTGGCAGCATCATGCTGTGGGGATGTTTTTCATCGGCAGGGACTGGGAAACTGGTCAGAATTGAAGGACTGATGGATGGCACTAAATACAGGGAAATTCTTGAGGGAAACCTGTTTCAGTCTTCCAGAGATTTGAGACTGGGACGGAGGTCCACCTTCCAGCAGGACAATGACCCTAAGCATACTGCTAAAGCAACACTCGAGTGTTTTAAGGGGAAACACTTAAATGTCTTGGAATGGCCTAGTTAAAGCCCAGACCTCAATCCAATTGAGAATCTGTGGTATGACTTAAAGATTGCTTTACACTAGCAGAACCCATCCAACTTGAAGGAGCTGGAGCAGTTTTGCCTTGAAGAATGGGCAAAACTCCCAGTGGCTAGATGTGCCAAGCTTATAGAGACATACCCCAAGAGACTTGCAGCTGTAATTGCTGCAAAAGGTGGCTCTACAAAGTATTGACTTTGGGGGAGGGGGGGGGGGGGGTGAATAGTTATGCACGCTCAGGTTCTGTTTTTTTGTCTTATTTCTTGTTTGTTTCACGAAAAAAATTATTTTGCATCTTCAAAGTGGTAGGCATGTTGTGTAAATCAAATGATTCAAACCCCCCAAAAATCCATTTTAATTCCAGGTTGTAAGGCAACAAAATAGGAAAAATGCCAAGGGGGGTGAATACTTTCGGCAGGTGTGTCAAACTCATTTTGCCCTGGGTTGGATTGGACTCCCTCGCAGGCTGTATGTTTGACACCCCTGCTCTAAGAATTTCAACTAATCTACCTATCAAACTTGTCTTGTAGTGCTGTTATTATTCTCATCCTATGATTTCTTCCAATCACATTTAGATTGTTTGCAGCATATGTCAGACACCTGTGTAGAGTACTGTAGTGGCCTCGGTGCTCTTCTCATCAGGAAGCTGAAAACTTGGTAGTACAAAGCCATTCCATTGTTGCAACACATAGGTAGGTATTGGTGAGCTTTGTTTGTGTTTGATGGCGTTTCCAAAAGTAAATGCTGAACGATACTCTGTGATTCAGGTTCTCTTGCGTCTTGTCAAAAGACGTTGAATGTGGCTGGGTAAAAGAATGCCCTTTTCTGGCAAGTAGCCACACGTCACAAGAGCACATCACACATGGGTTAAAGCAACAACAAAAAATCCCATGACTGAAACTTAAGTTGATCTCAGATTGGCTGGAAAACGTTTTGGCCCGAGGGCCACATCGGGATTTTGAAATTCAAGAGGGCTGCACCATTTTTTCAATGATCAATTTGTTAGTCAAAATCAATTTGCAGGCCAGAAAAAGGGCAGTTATTTGAAAATATATAGGTCCATTATAATTTCTACATGATTTCTATCTAGTTTTACACATTCTAGTGTGGCCTGAAGTGTGTTTTTTTCCCCCCAAAATATTAATTTCCCCCCTGCCCAAAAAACATATATATATACAGTACCAGTCAAAAGTTTGGACACACCTACTCATTCAAGGGTTTTTCTTTATTTTTACTATTTTCTACATTGTAGAATAATAGTGAAGACATCAAACTATGAAATAACTCATATGGAATCATGTAGTAACCAAAAAAGTGATAAACAAATCAAAATATATTTTAAATTTGAGATTCTTCAGTTGCCACCCTTTGCCTTGATGACAGCTTTGCACACTCTTGGCATTCTCTCAACCAGCTTCATGAGGTAGTCACCTGGAATGCATTTCAATTAACAGGTGTGCCTTCTTAAAAGTTAATTTGTGGAATTTCTTTCCTTCTTAATGCGTTCGAGCCAATCAGCTGTATTGTGACAAGGTTGGGTGGTATACAGAAGATAGCCCTATTTGGTAAAACACCATGTTCATATTATGGCAAGAACAGCTCAAATAAGCAAAGAGAAACAACAGCCCGTCATTACTTTAAGACATGAAGGTCAGTCAATCTGGAAAATTTCAAGAACTTTGAATGTTTCTTCAAGTGCAGTCGCAAAAACCATCAAGCGCTATGATGAAACTGGCTCTCATGAGGACCGCCACAGGAAAGGAAGACACAGAGTTACCTCTGCTGCAGAGGATAAGTTCATTAGAGTTAACTGCACCTCAGATTGCAGCCCAAATAAATGCTGCACAGAGTTCAAGTAACAGACACATCTCAACATCAACTGTTTAGAGGAGACTGCGTGAATCAGGCCTTCATGATCGATTTGCTGCAAAGAAACCACTACTGAAGGACACTAATAAGAAGAAGAGACTTGCTTGGGCCAAGAAACACGAGCAATGGACATTAGACCGGTGGAAATCTGTCCTTGGTCTGATGAGTCAAAATTTGAGATTTTTGGTTCCAACCGCTGTGTCTTTGTGAGACGCAGAGTAGGTGAACGGATGATCGCCGCATGTGTGGTTCCCACCGTGACGCATGGAGGAGGAGGTGTGATGGTGTGGGGGTGCTTGCTGGTGACACTGACAGTGATTTATTTAGAATTCAAGGCACACTTAACCAGCATGGCTACCACAGCATTCTGCATTGATACGCCATCCCATCTGGTTTGCGTTTAGTGGGACTATCATTTGTTTTTCAACAGGACAATGACCCAACACACCTCCAGGGCTGAGTAAGGGCTATTTGACCAAGAAGGAGAGTGATGGAGTGCTGCATCAGATGACCTGGCCTCCACAATCACCCGACCTCAACCCAATTGAGATGGTTTGGGATGAGTTGGACCGCAGAGTGAAGGAAAAGCAGCCAACAAGTGCTCAGCGTATGTGGGAACTCCTTCAAGACTGTTGGAAAAGCATTCCTCATGAAGCTGGTTGAGAGAATGCCAAGAGTGTGCAAAACTGTCATCAAGGTAAAGGGTGGCAACTTTGAAGTATCTAAAATATAAAATATATTTTGACTTTTTTTTTTTTTATGGGTCACTACATGATTCCATATGTGTTATTTCATAGTTTTGATGTCTTCACTATTATTCTACAATGTAGAAAATAGTAAAAAAATAAAGAAAAACCCTTGAATGAGTAAGTGTGTCCAAAATTTTGACTGGTACTGTATATATATATATATATTTTTTTATCAAACCGCATGCTTCATCCATATGACGGAAACCCGTCGCAGTGACGCAGCACTTTAAGCCCTGCATCACAAGAACACCGGGGTTGTGTATACACTCATATCAACGTCAGCTGTGCAAGTTGTATATAAACATTCAAATATGCAATTTGTCAAACCTCTACTATTTTCATTTAAAACGTAATTCTGTACAGAAAGTGGTTTCCAATAGGCAGATGGTCTAAGACGATGTCCTACATGACATTCATAGATTAATCGTAATGCAGACCTAATGCATTTTGTTCATATTTCTGGTTGAGGAGTGGTTATAATTGTACTGTACACATCCTGGTTTGGTAGATTGTACAAACACTTAAGGGCAAAGTGTTGTATCACTGAGACTTGATTTCTGTGTTGGTTTGCTGGTCATTGGTCTTTGCTATTTGTCTGTTGCAGCTGATAAGCACTTGGTTGTCAATGCAAGTCAGTCAATAGTTATCATGCATGAGCTTAGGATCACAGTTCTGTACCTTGATGCAAATCTCCAACATAACTTCCTCAGTTCTCCTCCTGGTGGTGTATGCAGGAATATCAACACCATATTGAGCAGTCACCTGCACCAGCATTTACCTTGCCTTGTTCATACGGTTTAAGTCACTGATCTTTAAGGTTTTAGCTTCATGGTCTCTGCATTGCAATGAGACAGGATATGCTAACATAAAAAACGAAAGAGCCTAATTTCGTTCATTATTCGATTTAGCTGACCCTGCAAACTCGGGAGAGTGTAGCTTGGCGGCAGATGCAAAACAGAAATGAAGGAGGGCGGGCGGAAGGGCCTTAATGAGTGGGCCTAGTGTCTGGCCAACAGTGCTGATGCTCCACTTTCCCAAGTCATCCCCACAGTGGGCCTTGCCTGTACCCTGAGAGACAATCAGATGACAGCATTGGAACCAGAAGAGGAAGAGTTGGCGGAGGGAGAAGAGGGAAGGTTCCAGAAGAGCCACTTGCGTTTACACTGCCTCCTCTGGTACAGGAAGTCCTCCTTGTCCCGCTCCTTCCGTGCTCTTTGGTAGTGGTCGTCCTCCTTCAGGAACCACACTGGTGGCCATCGGTGCTTCTCAAAGTAGTCCTGGTTGTCTGCAAGAGGCATGGCTCAACAACTTTAGCAAGATTAAATGCAGACAGATATGCAGACACCAATGATTAAGATAATGATAACTTCTAAAAAAATCCTGCATTGATGTAAATGGGAGATTTAAATGAAAGTTGTAGTTTCATGCACATATCTTTAGTTAGTATTTGCGTTACCTGTAGACTTGGCCTTCATGTCTCGAGGAAACTTGCGGCACACACTATTATAGTTGGTGCAGATGTGGTGAAGGCACCAACCACTTAGCTGTTGGGCACAGTGGAACTTCCAGAGATACAAGACATTATAGAAGACCTTATTCCGCACGTGATAACAGTTTACATTTAAAAGTGCAACACTTGTAAAACAAATTAGCATTAGAAAATCATGTGAGATTGGAGAAAAACAGTATAAAGTATATATACACCTACGGAAATGAAATATGAACAAGGGCTCCATCTTACCTGAGCCATCTCCAGGTACACCAGCACATCTCCATCAATATCAGCCCCCATCATAGCAGCCTCCATCAATACTGTCACTGTGTAGAGTTCTGAAACAGAGGCATAACACGCAGGATATCATCCAAGATCAACAGAATTATATTGCCAACTCTATCTCACAACAGAATTATACCAAGTAACAGAAACATTAGAAACAGACAGCTCTCTGAACACACATACTAGCCTAATAGACACTATTTGAAGAGAAAAAAAAGAGAGGAAGTGCATGTTATACTATGAGTGTCTACAATATGAGTGCAGGTCTTGCAAACAGATGTGGCTTTGTGTATGAGGGTGTGCTCAAAAACAACTAGAGACCTGTAAGTGCAACCAGGTGTGGGAGGCAAAGACGGTTGGCGAGAACAATGAGCTCCATGGCATCCAGGTCAGTGCGGGAACAGAAGCGCCCAGTGTACAGGTACTCCAGCACAGCCCTCATACAGCTGCGAGTCGTGTTGGGAAACAGCACCTGAGACAACAACAGGCACAGATCAACATCATGTTTTCCTTCCCTATTCACTAGTGCATTTTATTGTGATGTTGTGTGTTTATCTGGTTATTTAGGTGACTTGCAGTAGGTCTTGTAATTGTGCACATGATCAAGACCAAGGTTTAAGAAAAGAAAGGTGGAACACACTGTAGTTCTAGTGAGAGGGTGAAAAGGATCGACTTACCTCTTTGGTGCAGCTCTCCACAAAGGGCCCCCCAAACATAGCTGCCATCCAGTCACAGCTGGAGATGAGCAGGGGCTTATGGGCCATGATCGTTCCATCATCCAGCTTGAACACTACATCTGGAAAACAAAGATAAATCATACTGCCATTACCTTCTACTTCTTCCTCTATTATTTATTAAGTCCTGTCAAAGGTAGATCCTGTTTTTTAACAGCATGTTCTTTCCCATCCCCAGACCTCTGTATCCCAAAGCGGAAACACTTAGGACAGAGTGTACAAAAGCCCTCAGAATTACATGATGTGCTCTCACCAGAGAAGGTGCCTTTGGCCAGGCACTCTTTGACTCTGTTGGTGCGCCGTACATGGAAGGCTTTGGTGATTTCCTGGTTCATGAAGGACTCGTTGTTAAGAATGTTGGCCACCATCATGCGCAGGTCAAAGACCTCCAGTAGCTCAGCAATGTGTGCGATGTGCATCAGCTCCTTCTCGTGCTCGTCCAGCTGGCCTGTGTACAGGTAGCGCAGCACAGCGCGGAAGGGCCCCAGCTGCATGGACTGGTCCATGTACACCACGGTCATAGGCCTGGGGCTGTAGGTCACCGGGTCATCCACTAGCTCCTCCTGGATGCTGACAAAAGCTCTGCTCAAGGTAGACAGCAGTCTGCCCCTCCGGCCCCCCTCAGAGTCCCTCAGTGTGCCATCACTGGTGCAGGCCCGCAGGTTGGCCCTGTCGCCCTCGTCAGGGCTGTCACACACATCGAAGCTTGCAGCACGCATCAGCATCTCGCGGCCAGACAGAGCGGTGGCGCGTGTGGGCCGCTCAGTCTCCTCAGGTCGGGCGTCCAGGATGAAGAGGTCATAGAACTTGGAGGAGGACGTGGCCAAGTAGATCTTGTGGGCGAAGATTCTCTGCTTCTCCTGTAGGACCAGGATGACATCGGAACACAGGGGGTCCTCTAGAAGACGGCCAGGATGCTCCTCAGTGGTGGTGGGGGGAGGTGGTACAGTGATGATGGGAGGGGGGGGTTTGGGAGGTAGGAAGGGGGCCTGGAGGAGGGGCCGCTGCACATTGCGCAGGTGAGACTTCCAGAACTGCAGGTGGCGCCGTGAGATTAGGGCGGCCCGGATGGCGTTATCAAATACGTCCTTTACTCCAAACTGAGCCACAACACTGGTCTCGTAGTATGGCACTCCCAGCTCTTTGGCCACCTCATGGCCCTTCTCTGGAGGCAAAATCTCATTGGATTTAATCGGTCTGAAAGATGATTAAAGATTAACAAGATTCAGAGCAGCATCAACATGAGGGTAAATAACAGTGTATCAAACAAATCTTAGTAAAACGTGGAACCTACATTTCTATTGGTGACACAATCAATATATCAATCACAGGCTATCAACTTTAAATTGAGATGCATGAGTTGAAAAGCACTGCTTGAGATTGAAAGCACTGGACTTAGTAGTTGTAGGGCACCTTGCTAGTGGCCGTCGTGCCCTGTTGACTGCCTCCAGGTCAGCATAGCGCAGGTCCAGCTGGCAGCCCACCAAGATGACTGGAGCCCGGGGGCAGAAGTGCTTGATCTCAGGGTACCACATGGTCTTCACATGGTACAGGGAGTTGGGGTTGGCGATGGAGAAACATAGAACCACCACATCCGACCTGCAGTGATGAGTGGGGTTACGGGAGGGACAGTAAGGAAATGTCCACTAAGTTTACACTGCACCAGTCCCATGATTCGTATGAGTGAACAAGGAGGTCAGCTGATCTCACCTTCCATATGCAAAGCGTCGGTCCTTGTGATGGTCCCCGAACGTGTCCCAGAGTCGCAACGACACGCTGACCTCATCCACCACATCCCTAGAACGCTCCAGAACCTGACCGGAGAGACACACCCATCACATCAATGTACATTACCAATTGCAGGGTGTGAAACTAACACCTGACCACCAGCCTAATGTGCTAAGCCCAAGGTAAACATTGTGTGTTGAAGGTTAATCAAAGTGCAACAAGGTTTTGCACAACTGGATTTCAGTATTGTTTTCCTTCACTGTCAAGTTGGCTGGTGGATCAAACGCTTAATTTCAGACTCTATGCAGCTGCACCTTTCCTCAGAAAGTTCATTATCTAAAACGTAGACACAATAGAAAACAGACAAATAGATAAAGCTTTTCAGTAAATAACAATCATAAAAGGTTACTCCACCACTCACTTCCTGGCAAACTCTGTACTGGTCTATGGCCCAGACAGTGGGTACATGCGTAGCAAGCAATTGGTACTGAGTCAGTGTGGCATTACAGGCCCGGGCACAGATAAGGCGGGTCTTCCCAACAGCGTTGTCCCCTACAACCACACACTTGATAGTCTCAACGTTTGGCCTCTCATAGTCCATGTCAGAATCCATCAACTGGGGCCTGTCAGGGCAGAGAAAAGCAGTGTTTGATAAAATGCCAAAGGATGAAGTTCAAGTTCAAGTTTGTTTATCAAATCAAATCAAATTTTATTGGCCACATGCGCCTAATACAACAGGTGCAGACATTACAGTGAAATGCTTACTTACAGCCCTTAACCAACAGTGCATTTATTTTTTATAAAAAAGTAGAATAAAACAACAAAGAAAGTGTTGAGAAAAAAAGAGCAGAAGTAAAATAAAATAACAGTAGGGAGGCTCTATATAGAGGGGGGTACCGGTGGAGAGTCAATGTGCGGGGGCACCGGCTAGTTGAGGTAGTTGAAGTAATATGTGGGTAGAGTTAAAGTGACTATGCATAAATAATTAACAGAGTAGCAGCAGCGTAAAAAGATGGGGTGGGGGGGCAGTGCAAATAGTCTGGGTAGACATGATTAGCTATTCAGGAGTCTTATGGCTTGGGGGTAGAAGCTGTTGAGAAGTCTTTTGGACCTAGACTTGGCACTCCGGTACCGCTTGCCGTGCGGTAGCAGAGAGAACAGTCTATGACTAGGGTGGCTGGAGTCTTTGACAATTTTGAGGGTCTTCCTCTGACACCGCCTGGTATAGAGGTCCTGGATGGCAGGAAGCTTGGCCCCAGTGATGTACTGGGCTGTACGCACTACCCTCTGTAGTGCCTTGCAGTCGGAGGCCAAGCAGTTGCCATACCAGGCGGTGATGCAACCAGTCAGGATGCTCTCGATGGTGCAGCTGTAGAATTTTTTGAGGATCTGAGGACCCATGCCAAATCTTTTCAGTCTCCTGAGGGGGAATAGGCTTTGTCGTGCCCTCTTCACGACTGTCTTGGTGTGTTTGGACCATGATAGTTCGTTGGTGATGTGGACACCAAGGAACTTGAAGCTCTCAACCTGTTCCACTACAGCCCCGTCGATGAGAATGGGGGCGTGCTCAGTCCTCTTTTTTTTCCTGTAGTCCACAATCATCTCCTTTGTCTTGGTCACGTTGAGGGAGAGGTTGTTATCCTGGCACCACACGGCCAGGTCTCTGACCTCCTCCCTTAAGGCTGTCTCATCGTTGTCGGTGATCAGGCCTACCACTGTTGTGTCGTCAGCAAACTTAATGATGGTGTTGGAGTCGTGCCTGGCCATGCAGTCATGGGTGAACAGGGAGTACAGGAGGGGACTGAGCACGCACCCCTGAGGGGCCCCCGTGTTGAGGATCAGTGTGGCAGATGTGTTGTTACCTACCCTTACCACCTGGGGGCGGCCCGTCAGGAAGTCCAGGATCCAGTTGCAGAGGGAGGTGTTTAGTCCCAGGATCCTTAGCTTAGTGATGAGCTTTGAGGGCACTATGGTGTTGAATGCTGAGCTGTAGTCAATGAATAGCATTCTCACGTAGGTGTTCCTCTTGTCCAGGTGGGAAAGGGCAGTGTGGAGTGCAATAGAGATTGCATCATCTGTGGATCTGTTGGGGCGGTATGGAAATTGGAGTGGGTCTAGGGTTTCTGGGATAATGGTGTTGATGTGAGCCATGACCTGCCTTTCAAAGCACTTCATGGCTACAGACGTCAGTGCTACGGGTCGGTAGTCATTTAGGCAGGTTATCTTAGAGTCCTTGGGCACGGGGACTATGGTGGTCTGCTTGAAACATGTTGGTATTACAGACTCAGTCAGTGACATGTTGAAAATGTCAGTGAAGACACTTGCCAGTTGGTCAGCACATGCTCGGAGTACACGTCCTGGTAATCCGTCTGGCCCTGCGGCCTTGTGAATGTTGACCTGCTTAAAAGTCTTACTCACATCGGCTATGGAGAGCGTGATCACATAGTCATCCGGAACAGCTGGTGCTCTCGTGCATGCTTCAGTGTTGCTTGCCTCGAAGCGAGCATAGAAGTGGTTTAGCTCGTCTAAAGTTTGTTTATTTGTCATATACACATTATATAGGTGGAGTACACAGTGCATCGAAATGCTTACTTACAGGTTCACATCTCGACAATGCAAAAACAATCAATCAATCAACTGGAGATCAAATATCACAGATGTATTGAGGAGCTTGCTCAAAACATTGCTCTTCATCACAACCCCTCTGATCCCATCAGTGAATTATTCACCTGACCACTACAGCATGAGGGATCAATAGATCAATATTGCAATAAGCCCTCTGACTCTGCTTCATCTGCATTGCTCACACTGTCTACAGTGCTATCAATGGTCGGTCAAGTGACTGCCTTCAAACTGTGGCTGCCTGGCTAAGTGCCTGTGCCAATTCAGAAGGTCCCTGACGGTCCTTACTCTTCTATTTTAAGAGACGTCCTGGGGATTTCAGAGTTCTGGAAGTGAAGTAGGATGTGTTCCTGAAATTAAGCACACTCTGCTAACTCAATTTGTCCAGCATCTTAGTTATACTCAGGCAGGATCTGCGTATTGTCATTTTGTGTTTCCATATGTTTTATGCAGAGTTTTACTGACAGGAGAGGACATTCCATTTCCCTGAACAAGGTGTAATAGCATCACAATCTCTCTCCAACATAAACCAATTTCAACATAACAAAGTTTCATATGATTCACATTGTTACCCCATGAGATACATCTTTGATCAAATAAAACAGACCACAGGGAGTGCCATTATGCAAGGATCCAGCTGAAATCACAGTCCTGTATAAAACACTTGAAACCAAAGAAAGTATTTCAGTAAATTCAGCCATGGTCTTACCAATAGGCCTGGCAATGCAGAATAACACAGTGTTCTTTTGAACAAAAATACTCACACCAACATCTCTTTTGATTAATTTACACCATCAATCATATATAAGCATTCCTCCCTTGCAGTGTCTAAGAGCTTCTTAGCAAGCCTAGAAAACTATCTAACCGTAGATCAGTGTAGGATCCAATAAAATTGTGGTGGAGAACATAAGTTGACAGACGGACATCCTCCATCTACAAATAAGGCTGCATTGATTAAATAAAATTGAGCGAATGGGTAAACATAGGCAGGCTACTTTTCCTCACCTCACGTCTCGAAAATGGAGGTTGCTGATCTCGTTATTCGGTTTCCAAGGGAACCAGATTTGCTTCTGTGTCATACCCTGCTACAACCCATGCAATGAGCTCTAGATTGACAGAATATAGACCTATCATAAACCCGTTATACTCCAACGGGGGTATGGCAACTGAATGAGCTTTACCAGGAGTCCCAATTACATTCAGCCGAGGGCCGATTTTTTCTTGAGCGGATGTTCGGGGGGCCGAAACATAGTTATTATGTGTAGGCTACACTGCAATCCCAAACAGATAGCCTATAGTATTTGACAAATCCAGAATAATTTCTAACTTTGATCACATTGCGATACGATCACATATGTCGCTCTATTTATGGGTGGGAATAATGTTTTACATATATATTTAGTAGGCTATAGATTTTTTTTTTTATGCTCATAAAATCGAATTTGGTCCGCAGGCTACGGATTGGGGAACCCTGGTAGACTGACAGCCACGCGCAAAAATGTAAACAATGTGTCCAGACTCGAGCCAGACTGCACCATGAGGCAACAAAATAGAATAGCATACCATGCCAGCCACTATACCGTGGGAAATTAGAATTTCACATGTGAATGAAAGCCAATTATTAAAACATACCAGTTTTTCTTCCTATCTGCCTCGTGATATTCATTCATAAATGGCCCACCCTCAGTCAACCTCCGGAACGACGAGTTGCAACAATGTAACTGTTTTTCAAAATGAGCACGCGAAACTGATGACGTTGGGTTTCGACGAAATTCGAGTGTATACTGCTGGGTAGGTATTTTTGGTCACTGTGGGTTGAGTTCCAATGTAGGGCTATTATTGGATCCTCTAACAGTGGCTATCTCAAAATGCACGCCAATATGAAATAGCTCCAATATTAAGTTACAGAATGGGAGAAGGCGGGGATCTTGGACGGCAGGGTGGATTGCCAGTTTACCAGATCACTGAAGATCATGCTACTGTTTTGACAGAATAAATTCCTCAGTCTAATGCCATTCTCTCTCGTTGGTCATGTTGGCTATTTGGCCACGGTCTGAAGCAGACTGCGCTTAGCAAATACCAGTAGTCCCTTCATCAATCAGCAAGACCTGACCTAGGCACCTTAGCTGCAGTTCAGACATCTCGCTGTCTAATGCCGGGGCAACCAACTGTCTGTCAGGCTGTGTCATAAAATATGCAAGCACTAGCCTATCTTGTCTGCAATGAAGAATGCCGTAGTTATTTCGTTATACTATGGATTTAGTATAGATTCTCATGAGACTATGACCATTTAGTTAGGTAGCTTTAGATGCAAACTAGACTGACATAACTAGTAGCCTAAGTTTGATAGATCATAGCCCCAAATCCACATTATTTCAGAGGATTCCGTTCATTGGATAACATAGCCATACAGATCATATGATAGAGTCTTTACAATAGGATATATCCGCTCCAAGAACTCACCATACATTCAATTTAAGAAGGGCTTAGCTAATAACATTCACCCAGCTTGCTACGAAAGCGTTTTCCAACAAGCCGAGTCACTGGTCATTCGGATCCACTGCATTACGTTATGTAACACCCAGTGGTTCCTTATTGTGCCATTTTGTGTTATTGAGGTGCATGACAAAGTATTCGATTATTATAGCCTATAATTATAGGCTACTAACCCATTGGCCTATCCTTACCGCAACACAAGGAAGTGGTGCATCGGATTGACCGACGTTTGAGACCGAGAAGTAGAGGGCTCCATGGGATGCGGCTTGCACCTGACCGTTGCCTGGTTTGAACTTCATCTTCGCAGCAAGGTTAAATATAGGAGATTAAATATAGGCGACCAGCGGCTAAAGTCACCAGAAAAGTCCACTTGGTAAAAATAATAAGCGTATCATCACCGTGTGTCCGAGAACACTGGTGGTCTTTGAGTCTGTCTTCACCGTCAAAAGCAGCTCCAGCCTCCGCCAAGCAGCGTCAAAGAACCACCTTCAGTCACCTACGTAGCTTATTATAGAGGCACGCGCACCAACAAAAAACCCATTCATTACAAAACTGCGGTCCACCCCAAATCTCCCGAAAATTCCAAACATAGGCTAGCCGATTTAGCTGTTGTAACTTTTGGTTCACATTCTACTGTAAATAATTCAGTCTCAGCTAGGCTACTGTAGGCCTATGTGACAGGTAATTATTAAGGTTATGTCCAAACTCCAAAGGTCATGTCTAAAATAAGTAATAAACTAGTATAACTACCTCATAGAATTGTAGGCTATTGCCAACATAATGTGATGTCTGAACTTACCAATTACAAGTTGCCATGACTGCCATGGTGTGGCACTGTGAGTGAATATGGTTCTGGTGCTGGAATTTTAATTCGATTTTATGATCACTCGCTGCAACCTGGACTCAGGAGTTGACCAAACATAGAGCTCACTGTATGGAATTACTTTTGTGCCTTTAATATTAATCAAACATTTTGAATTTAAGAACAACATTCTTAGTATTGCAAACAAAAATAATGATATTGAAAGCAAAACATTAATAACGCAAAAGTATTGAGAGCAAAATAAATAATATTGCAAGGAAATAATTTTGAAAGGCAAAAACAAAAGTATTGTACCGAGGTAAAATTAGTTTTATATTGTATATTCGGTTTTCTCTCGTCAATAGCTATTGAACCAAGCATGCCATGACCATGAAAATGATATATTCAGAATCTGGGGAGGATGGACAAAAATCCACAGCTTTTTATTATTATTATTGCAATAGCCTACAATTTTAAGCGGTCGTTATACTAGTCATGGCACGCTTTGTGTAAGAGCTATTGAAGATTGAAATCCCAAATCTTATTATATATATTTTTTTAAAGTGGGGATTTTTCTCCATTCACCCCTGATTCAGAATATACCATCTTTATAGTCATGGCATGCTTGGTTCAATAGCTATTGCCGAGAGAAAACCAAATATTCACGGAATATCCAATATAAAACAAAATTGACGAGTCAAAAAAGTTAGTGCAAAAAGGGTAAATGCAGATAGTCTGGGTAGCTATTTGGTTAACTATTTAACTAACTATTTAGCAGTCTTATGGCTTGGGGGTAGAAGCTGTTTGGGGTCTTGTTGGTTCCCGACTTGGAGCATCGGTAATGCTTGCTGTGTGGTAGCAGAGAGAAGAGTCTATGACTTTGGTGGCTAGAGTCTTTGACCATTTTTAGGGCCTTCCTCTGACACCGCCTGGTATAGAGGTGCTGGATGGCAGGGAGCTCGGACCCAGTGATGTACTAGGCCATACGCACTACCCTATGTAGCGCCTTGCGGTCGGATGCCAAGCAGTTGCCATACCAAGTGGTGATGCAGCCAGTCAAGATGCTCTCAATGGTGCAGCTGTAGAATGTTTTGAGGATCTGAGGGCCCATGCCAAATATTTGCAGAATCCTGAGGGTGAAGAGGTGTTGTCGTGCCGTCTTCATGACTGTGTTGGTGTGTGTGGACCATGATAGATCCTTAATGACACAGAGTAACTTGAAGCTCTCGACCCACTTCACTACACCCCCGTCGATGTGAATGGGGGCGTGCTCGGCCCTCTGTTTCCTGTAGTCCACAATCAGCCCCTTTGTCTTGCTGACGTTGATGGAGAGGTTGTTATTCTGGCATCACAATCAATACTGTTAAAGCTGCAAGACATGGACATTATTGTATATAGAGTTTTTTGTTGCAAATGTCGACTTGAAAATCAGAGGCATAAAGCAGATAAGTGTTTAATTAATTCATTGATTTGTCATGTCCATGTCATAGCAATGCACAATTAGCCATCACAAATTATTTAATTAAGGATAAACACTTACTGTACACTTGGAGACCTGTCATAGAGAAATTGTCCTACAGGTAACAGTTATTATTGTCCTTAGAATAACTGGTGTTCAAGAAACAGGTTACAATGTCCACAAAGTGTTCAACTCGTTTTCCTTGATAATGGTTTCCAACATAAGATTGGCAGAACTTCACTAAAGAGTAAGAACATTTCTGCATTGTAATTCTATTTTCAGAATACCTTATTAAACATGTGACTAGTTCCTGGTAACAAATTGGCACTGTAAACTTGACTGAACACAGTTCAGTGACAATGGATAAGTCTGCCCTCCTCTTTCTCATCGGTACAGTTACACATTTTAGTAGTATTATTGGGGATGAAGTGATATTCCTCATTGGCTTCTCTCAGCTATGGAGACAGGTCATCAGCCAGAACCACCAATGAAAAAGGAGCACAAATTATGCAAAAAGGTTAACATGGGTGGAAACCTAACACAGATTATCAATGTAGAACTACCGATAAGAGCAATTGTCGCAATTCAATGACTGTTTTTTTTATTGTTCACAATAACTGAATGCTCCGGTTTAATGCATGTTGTCACAATTCACAAAATTGACCCAAGTATGGTCTTATTGTAGTTCAATTAGGTGTTTGTTATAGCACAGGCAGGGATGACAATTTACACACTGCTGCCCTTCAGGACCAAGAATGAGGATCACTGAACTAGTGCACACTTTGGGAGGAAAGGTAAAGAATCAGGAAACAAGCCGACCCACTACCCCTAAACCGAAGTATGCATTCATACAATCCTCCTCATGGGCTTAAAAAGGAATGAACTGGTGGTGTAAGGAATATGGCAGAAATCCCCCCAACCATGGTGGTAGCAATCCATTGCCTTAAATCCAGGAAGGGGGGTTAACAAGTGCAGATCATTGGAAGAAGGGGGTTTAGGGCACCAAGTCATTTTTCAGCCCTAGCTTCCCATGGGAGGGCAGCTTGGTCAGCAGCATCTGGAAGACAGGAGCAGGCCATCTGCTGGAGGAGCTGCTGGGGTTGCCTGCACACAGCAATGACGTTAGTCAGCTGAACCACTCCCTTATCATCGTTTCCTAAGGGTTGGAACACAAAATAGATTAGTTGAAAGGCACAATGTCAGGTCTGGACTGGAGCAAATAAGCTAATATAGAAAAGGCTTTTCCTCCAAAAAATAATTGTTGTACCTTTCAGAGTCAGACAACAGGAACTCCATATAATAATCAGCCCCCTTACAGAGTC